AATTTTTTAGCTATACTAAATACAAGTTGTGATTTGGTGAGATCATAGATGGAAACCAGCTCTTTCGGATCAGGTAACGAAGTGTCTTTGTTCAATCTTGGTGTCCAACGCTGAATGTCGTCTTCATCTTAGATTAAGTAATATTTTTACTAGTTGTTTTGTTATTGTTGCAAAGAAAACACTTACTAGAATCAAACAAACGAAATCGACGATATTCTTTTAAATCTTCCTGTTGAAGTAATTTTACCAACATCAATTCAGAAAATCTAAAGATTAAAAATGTCAACAAGTGCAAGATACCACTATTTTTTATTTACCGCTTTATTCCTTCATTAACAATATCGTCTGTTGTAATAGGAAAATAAAGAGCATTTTTACTTTCATCTCGCCACACGTTCAAATCTGCTACCTTGAGCGGATACGGATGAACGCAGCGAACTGGAACCTTATTAGTTGGTACTGTCACTAGACCAACTCGAACATGATACTGAGAATTCAAATAGATCATGGGAATTTTAATTGTCGGATAATCGTAAGGCTTGACATTACTATGAAGATATCTTGATGCTATCTTGTGGTCACGAAGGTAGCGCCCATGGTAGATCTCACTTGGCTGAGCAACTATTTCAATTTGAGATTGATCAGGTTGTTGAATATGTGGTTGTCCATAGGGCGGAGTAACTGTTAAAGGTAATAATAAATGTCCATTAGACTGAGTGACAACAGGCATTGAAAATTGATCAGTTAAGAATGATGCGTTGAATTGAAGCGAGTATGAAGCAGACTGAGATGCACGTATTCCTAAGATGTCACCGATTGGTTGAATATTATCGGATGATGATAATACTGGCGCTTGTTGGTTCTGGACGGACGAATTCGGTTGAGATGCTAAAATTTGCGGTTAAGTTCAAGATTATGACAGTGAATTGAATGTTTAGAGTAACTATAATAGCTCGCCTGGCCCGAATACTATTCAGTGCTTTGTAACCACTTTTTAAAGTGGAACAAGAAAAATTGGATTTAAAGCACTCACTTGGGAATACGAGACTAGTATAGGAGATCGAATCAGGAATATGAGGTGGTGTATTAAATACCATCGATAATGGGCTATCAATTTCGAGATCTTAAGTAAAAAGAACAGATGTTGATAATTGCTTTTTTAAAACAGAAACACTAATGATCGTACCCAATTCTGATGTTCTTTCTGGTGTTGACACCTGAATACAGGGTGGATTGTTACATGTGTCAAATATAGTGCGACCGAGGAGCGCAGAAAGATCAGGAGCTAAAATAATACATGAACTTGCTCGTATGGTCTATAAGATAAAGTTTCTAAGGTTTCATTAAGATATCTTATGATACATAACATAAACTGTTTTGATAAAAAGGGCTTTAAAAGACTCATTCAGATTTGTAATACTAACTAAAAAAAAGCAGTATTTATTGAAATTTTATCCTTTTTGAGGTAAAATCCAACGTGTCTCATTTGATACGCACTATTACTCTGACTGTAAACTGATTGACATCTACTTTTCAAAACTCTGTTCGAAAATTTGCAGAATTGTGACATTCTCTATGCTCCTAGACGTACGAGGAAACGTCTCCAAGTGCTCAACTCTGTTTGAGGTCATATTTTGTTGACTGATAGGGCAAATTAGTGGACAAAAAGCCTAAAAGGCTTTGGCCTAATGCGACTTCCTTCCCGAGTTACGATTGAAATCCCGTCACAACATCGTATTTTTCACTCTTTTTGCTGTTTTCTTTTAGAGCCAAAAGACTGAAATGTTTAAGTAACGTGGAACTACACTAGTTACACCCATGGTAAAATTGTCAGTTTTGTAGCCCACCCGGAACAAAAACTGGAAATGTCGAAAGTTACAAAAATGATATTGTATAATATTTGATCACAGCGTTTGATTTTCGAGACAAATTTGAAAATCCTATGTAAGTCTACATAGGATAGCATAACCCAATGTAGGATATTTTACAGAAACTTCAAAACTTAGTAATTAAACGACACATACTAGCTCGAAATATCGCTATAGCCTATTCTGTTCATACTGATCTTATAATTAAGATTAATGAAAAGTATTAAGGTTTTAAATCCTCTGTCAAAATAGCTAACTGGGTTATGTAGTCCTATACAGATTTCTGTAGAATGCGTTCATTCCTTCGATTCACTTCCGGAATTTTCAGTTGTAATTGTAACGAATTATGGGTGTTAGGACGGAGACCTAAGTACAGCTCCGAAGATGCCGCTATGGTACTGCCTCAGCCTAAGTCAGTGAGATGAAACGATTCTAAGATGATGTAAAAACATGAACCTGGATGCTGACGTATGGACACTAGATTTGTGGAGGATAATTAGATATTTTGAGCCCACTCAGAGCAATGAAAAGTACAAAACCTTACAGAGAATCTAATTTAGACAGGATCGACGCATTGTTTTCAGATACTAATACTATTATTTTCCCATAGATGTATTCAATCGAATGACACAAACCTATCACCGGATTATTTACCACTATCAGAGATACTCACGAAAATCTTCCGACGATGACATATCGTTCACTGTTCTTTCAGCAGTACTGGTTCGGGCAAACAGATTTTGCCGTGTACACTATGGGCGGTTAGCGCAAAGATTATTACTCTGAAACGAAAAATTCAATATTAGATCACTTTTCTACCAGAGGTTAATGTTCTGATTATTCAATGTATTTTGTCCTCAAGTAGAGATATATTAATACAAGAGTGTATAATCTGATATGTTTATAGTCTACAAGTGTAATACCCTTTGATTTCCTTTTCGTCATACTATTTTTTTTCTTCCTTCAGTTCGTTATCAACCATAACAACATGACAAGGCTGTCTACACGACAAGGCATGAGTTGGAAAAATACTGATTCTCTGTGTTTCACAATTGCGTAATATGTAATTCAAAGGACAAAAACATACAAAAATATCAGTATTTATATCAAAGAGCAACACCTTAGAATTAAACTATATAATGATTTTTGCAGCAGTCTTTAGTTTTAACACTATTTTATTTTTGGATATTTCGACCTTTTTATACCGTCATTCCCTTGACTTTAGCCTAGGCTCTTACAAAATGGTTGTCTGTCTGTCTGGTGCAGATAAGTTATCACCAAATTCAAGAGCCATTTTATTTTGTAGTGTTGTAGCCTCTACGAATGCATGTTATAACTTAAGCTTAAATTATACTTAATTTTGAATAGCGGATCAAATTCAAGACTCAGTTTAAAGTGTGTTGCACAAGTAACTAAGTTGTTTGATGAAAACTTGATAATCTGTAATTTTTCTTTAATATATATATATATATATATACAGCGAATTTCGTTTTTGTTTCTTAGCTTTGACTATCTTCTCTATGACTACGTAATATCTGAACAGACCTGTCGACAATTCTTTTTATAGTAGGAACAAACATTTCTTCGTTCTTTTTAAATTTTTGTTTGTTTTTTTCCTTGCATTGAATCGGAAGATACACGTGCTGCTACATTTATTTTTTCTTCCGTTAATGTAAGGTAAAAAGAGAAAATACGGATGTCCATACGCTCTTCTATTACCCAGGTCAAAGATTCACGACCGCTTACTATAGTATTTCATCGTATTTTGACGTAAAACCGGCCAACGTATTACGTCCATCGTAAACGACGTCGTTTACGTTGAAATATGACGGTCGTAACGGCTGACGTAAGTTGACCGGGTTTACGTCAAAATACGACGAAATACTATAGTATACATCAAATTACGTCGTCGTAATTTGACGTATAGGATGGTCGTAATCATGAATCTGGCTAGTTAGGGCAGCTTTTTCCTTGACTATAGTCTAGGGTATTACAAAATGGTTGTCTGTGTGTCTGTCTGTCTTTGCGCAAACTACGGAAAAATGGGTGATAGATATACCATGGATAAGCCAATCACAACCACAAGAGAGAAAAGCAGAAAGTTCTTTTTTACACGAGGCAAAAAATATATAAAGAGATGACTGAAATAATATTTACTGATATAGAGAGATAAAAAGCTAACCAAACTTTTTCTGTAGTTAGAAGACAGATGTCACCAGAGATCAGTCACTTTTGATAACATAAAAAAAGTCATCCACGGATAATTAAGTTACAGAATATACATAATCTGTCATAGTGAATCCATTAAAAATGCTTGTAGGCTCGCTTCGGATCTTCAGAGCGTGTTAAGAAAACTTTTCAGGTTTGTGTTACATTGTGCAATTTTTCCGCGGAATCAGAGAAGTTCACAACATTTCTCAGTTATACTGGGTTAAGCTACGCTAGGATTGAGTGCAGTCCAGGGCTACACTCAGTTCTACCATCTAGTCCAACTACTAGTCTCACCTTAGCCTCTTTTGTGATTGGTTCGTACTTCCAGTCAGAAGGTATAACGGCACTCTTTTTTATTGTCGTCTTAGGAATATATTCCCAGGCCGTGAAAAATGAGATAAAAAATGAGTCATGAATGACTCATTTATGTGCCATATATGGCTCATTTTTAAATCATATCTCTCCCATATTTATCTCATTTATTGTATCATAATGTAGTCATAATTATGTCATTTTTTTATGGGATAAATATCATCT